CGATGCACCCGGTTTTATATTTAATTTGCACTCATGATTTACTCTAATATAACGCATTGTATTTCTTAGTTCGTCTAATATACCACACTTTGTATTGATTTCCTGTACTTAACAAATTAGATAATAAAGCAAAACTACATTCAGAATTATCCTATTCAATAAGGTATAACTTTAAGTGTCTCAGGTAAACAAAAAAACATTTGTTTTACGCCCTTCGGAAGCTGTTATTCTTAGGTACTTGCCTTGTACATTTTCTCATTATTAATACAATCACGTCGCCTGAGATAAACGGATATCTGTATATACCTACTAAGCGACACCAGTGTCGTGAGAACAACGATAGAATAGACGCCTCGTTTGATCCACTTTAATTTTCCAGAGATACAGGCCTTATCGAGGTCGGTGCGATAATGAATGGCGTGTCAATATTTGCACTCTGTGGCATTTTCTTAAGTTGCGACACAAAGGAAGAAAGCAAGACAAGTGTTTTCACACAGCGACCACGTCATGGATTTCTACATAGTTTCGTTTGACAATTTAATGAAACAAAGGAATTGTTATTTTACATAGTATACAAATTTAGTTCAGTTTTTATTTTTACTATGCAACGCGTCGACTGTACGGCCCCCTTGATTTTGATTCTTTATCGCCGATTATTGACATCACAGCTGACCCGATTCATCCTTTAAAGACTTGCTACAAATCTCGTTTGATTGGCAAATACGGGAAACGAATGCGTGAAAATTTTGCCGGATAATCCTCTGAATACTGGCCCTAAAACAAATCTTTTGTTTTACGTCCAATTCACTTCTTGACCCTGTTGACTTTTAAAAGCAATCTACTCGTTTCTTCCTAAAATCATTTAATAATAATAATAATTAAACAACCCACAGTAAGTCGCGACGCGTTACAGAACGACTGGAACAGCCTTGGCTTCTACACCTCCACGCTACCCACGGCAACCCTATTTGGTCATCTACGTGGGCGCAGCGCCTAATCACGTACTAAGCAACCTTATAATGACCCAACAAAGAATCGCTTCGGTACAGGGTTGCAGATTCGTCAACATATAGGTAGGCGGTGCCGTTGCCTACGCATAAACATCTCGATTATTATTCCATAATTTATAATATTTAGAATTAAATGTATTATTATTGAATTAAGATTAATTCAACTTGTACTTCAACGTGTATCAGCTTTCAATATGATGACAATTCTTTCTAGTGTCTTGTTTTGTAGTATTATTCCAACAAAAACTATGAACCTATCAAAACCTTCAATTAAAAGTTATGTGGATATAATTTTTAGCAGAATTAGGAGAAGCGTTAATCTACACTGTAGACTTAATAAAATAAAATAGAACCACCATAATTGCTAGATTATCTTTATGATTTAAACTATACCGGCGCTTCTATTTTTTTTTCAAACAAAAACTATTAAGTAGCATTATCTCAATGGGTGACAACTTTTTAGCGATAAGAACAATATTCAAAGGCTATTAAACTCGTTTATCTATTATCTGTACATAAACCACAGTACGGGTGTACAACATACTCGATAAAAATTATCTACAAATCAGTTCATCTTTTTACAATATATTGCAATCATAGTATCTTTATGATAAAGCGAAATCGTATTGTTCATTGATGTTCCTTTATCTTGTATTCCATGTTTATCATATGTTTATTTAAAGTAATTGAACGTTCTGATTGACGAATGTGTTTATTTTAATCGGTGCATTGTTTTGTGATGATGTTCAAGCCAGCCTTCTTTTGATTGGAATGCAAACAATGGAGATGATCAGGTCGATTTAAAAAGTTCCTTAAATTGAATTTCTTGTTCACAATCAATTCGCATGAATCAGGAGTAGGAGGTATTTTTACCTTATATTTTTAAACTAAGATTTCAATATTTACCAAATGTATTTTGTAGCTTGTAACCCTTTATCTGTTTTCGTATTTTTATTTTCCAAAATCTCAAAGAGCGCTCTAATTCCTTCGATCAGCGTAACGTGATATGCAACGCCTGTCAGTTGTCAGTTTGTCGTCGATATTTTCGTCAAGTCGACGCTAATGTCGATCTCCAAAGCGACATACCAAACAAACCATGAAACTATATACGAGAACATAATTTATATTATCTTTTACATGTTTCGCCATTCGATTCAAAACGTGATTTTCATATACCGAATGGTTGTCTATATACATATAAAGACAACTATAGAGCAGTATAAACATGTTTCTCTAGCAGCCGAAGCCAAATATTATCGAGTATCATTTAAAGTATTTTAAAGTAATTTACGGTACACATTAGTGTGGCTGTTTTTTTAAATTACTGTTAAAGTTCTGTTAAGTCTAGATACTTATTGACAGGACAGTAATGTTTGTTCATAAAAGGCTCCGTGTCGTAACTTCTCCTTGAAATGCAAGCAAACATTAGACGAACAGACCAACGCGGTGATGAGGCCATGTGCTGATGCTTCTGTTCACAGCAAACGTAAGCATTCATGAAGAATACCTATCGTTTGAAATCCAATAAATTTACTGTAAGTGAATACGGTATTAACATTACATGTATTTGTTCAATGTCAGTCTATAGATATAATAAATCAATTAAGTAGTTTCAAGGACGTCTATTATACAACGGTTTCAAATTCACAATCTTATGAAAGTAGAAGCATAATAATACTTATAAATGTAACGTATAGTTTCTACTTTGCTTCGATACGTGACTTGGGTTTCAAATGAGATTCAATGAAACTTTATCTTTTGAATCATTTAACAGGTCGCGTGACGTGATAGAAGCGTAGCTTAAAACTTTTCATATTTAATGGCGTTAAAATAATAAAGATAATTGTTGGTTTCTATCGTTATGAAGAAAACAAAAGACAATTTTATATTAATTTAAGGTTGAATCCAAAATTTTGTAATAGTACTTGATTATGTTCGGAAATCGAAATTTGCAACGTTTGTCGAAGCAATGATAAATAATTTCTCGGGTGATTAGTGATTATAAAAACGGACAACGGCATAGGGTAAAACACCCAGTAGTCAGCCTTTTAGTGGGATTCTTAACTTGATTCACCTGTATTTTTAAAAATAAAAGAATTTAAATGAAAAAAATTTTTTTTACAGAAAGTTCGTTTATTATTTTTACTAAAGAGATACAATTTTTTTTTAAATTTTGTTAGAATTATATAAAAAATCAATATTAAACAAAATATGGCACTTTTTACCGGTAGTCAGCCTCATTTCTCCACAAGTCAGCCATGTCTTACCCTATAGTCAGCCTTTTACTTATTATTGCACGTTGGACATACAAANTCGTTGGCGGCAGTGGAAATAAACGAGTACAGAGGATCAACCTGTCACGCTATCGGTTCTTAGATGTGCACAGTAACCAACAAGAGAACATAGATTTGATTAAACGTTATTTCAATGGTGTAAGTCCATTTCAACACTATTTATACCAAAATAAAACCTATAAAGGCTGAGTACTGGTGCGGGGCTGACTTCTGGGGGTTTTACCCTACCTATTAGACAGTGAAATTAAAACGATACTGGTGGTAGGTAGGACCTCTTGTGAGTCCGCACGGGTAGGCACCACCGCCCCGCCTATTTTCTGCCGTGAAGCAGTAATGCGTTTCGGTTTGAAGGGTGGGGCAGCCGTTGTTACAATACTGAGACCTTAGAACTATATCTCAAGCTGTGTGGCGCATTTACGTTGTAGATGTCTATGGGCTCCAGTAACCACTTAACACCAGGTGGGCTGTGAGCTCGTCCACATATCTAAGCAATAAAAAAAAAAGATCATCCCGGCCAGCCCCACACACATTTAAGACTAATACATTTAATGTGAATACCCTGTAGCTATACTCTGAAGAAGTACGTATTGAATAGTATTTCATATTATGTCAAATTTATTAAAGGTGCGCAAATATATTTTGCATATTATTTTCTGTTTTTCGAAGATCATTGTTTAATTACCTATGTCTAAAATCTAGAAAAATTTAAATTTCATTTATCTAGTGCTATCAGTTTCCGAGTAAATTGATTGTGACATAATATGGGCACAGATGGATAAGCCCAACCTTATAAAGTTTCTAGGTACTTCGATATGGAATACAAAGTTCCAAACTTCTCACTTCAAGACATACGACGTAGCAGATTTTATGAAATGTCGTAATATATTATCATAATAAGAATTTTAAATGTGAATTTAATTTACTACATTAATAAGTATGTAAAATAAAACATGACAAAAACAAAGCGAGCAATTAAAATACAAGTTGCAAATTAGGCGCATAGGCTATAATTACTACGTTCGAAGTAATAAAGATAAGGGCTACACAATACAGAACTACCAAATACCGATGGACTGGTTGTGTTGCGGGCAGGTTATAAAATATAAGTATAACTAAACACACACGTAGAGCTGGAAGTTGCGCCTGCGTTGCGCTGCGTACAAATCTTGCGCCTACGACTCGAAGAGGTAAATCGTACGGTACCTACTGACCGGTGACATTCCAGTGACGTAGGCAAAATCGAACACTGAAAAACAATAAACCACCCAAACTTTGAATCCGACGTGTCCGTGCTAATTTATAACCTCAAAACTGAAATCAGTCATACCATTGTGATCAAAATCTGCTTTTTACAATAGCGATGTCGAGTGGCCAAATGCGATACGTGAGTGTGGACACCAAACCCGTTTAATACACTCATTTCACCGATCTCTTTCGTTGGCGACAATCTAACGTCACTGACCGCAAATCATCAGGCTGACGTTCGATTTTGTTTCCCTTTACGAAATGAAAGATCACATTACAGACACCACTGGACCATAACTCGGGCGAGCGAAGACGAAAATAAACTTAATATCGCGTGCGTTGGAGCATTTGTCGACGCATCGAATTTGTGTTCGTCTCAGTGACAAGCTGAACGACAGAATCTTACACTTTAGTCTGCCGATCTAGATTGTTTAGCTGGGTTGAAACGTACCTTCATCCAGAAGTCGCTCCATGTGCATGAAAACATTCGGGAACGCAGCCAGTTGCTTCCTGTCTTTGAGCAACTGAGCTAAGTAGTCCGCTATACTTTGCGTTGAAGGATTGGTATTATCACACATTTTGAACCCTATGTAAAGAACTAGTGTCACGTAATATTTCTATTCTAACACGTTGAGATACAGTATATTGTACTTTAGTTACTAGTAAATGTTATTTTTGTGAGAATGTGTTAGAAAAGTTAATATTCACTACCACACACAACGAAGTTTCGAACACCACTGAATGACGAAGTTGACCGAAGTGAAGTTGTGGGCGATAGCGGTGCGCTTGCGCTCTTGATTTTTCGTGCGCGTGCGACTACTGGCCACAGTGTAGGCGTAATAATAACATCTATTCAGCTCTTTCGCACCCGTATGGAGAGATAAACAGGTGGTTGTCTTTGTCTTACGTTCGCTAGCGAGGGGAACAGTAGCTCCATCTGTGCATTTTTTTTGTAATCATAATGACGTTTAATGGATTAGCCAATAACTACTGACCAGTAGGTAGCCACAATTTATTTCATTATTGACATGACAATCATTAATGGATAAAAACATCAGGTGTAATAAACTATAAGGGTATTTATCTAACGACAAATCATAATAAATGCAATTATGATTTCTTGTTTTTGGTGTTTTTGGTGTCAAAAAGAGCAGTGTTTTCCCAAATCTACCACCGGTATCGTGAATTCCAGTGATCGATTACCACTAAGCCAGACGGTGCTATCTATAATAATGGCTTTAAAAAAACTGTGTGTACAGTCAAATAGGAAAAACATTTTTATTTATTTAATTAACAATGAGAGCCTAATCACGGATACCTTTTTTTTGTAAACATTAAGTATTTAATTATATTCTTGAGTTTTAAATTTATGTTAAACCTCAAGTTTGACCACAGATCGGCATGAGTTCTGTTTAACAAATGAACTCTACATGCAACACCTAGTATTGGAAAAAAAATAGAGGTTTCTATATTATTGAAAAAATATATTAAAATATTCTCACTAATGTGCAAGCCACGAAATTCTACTAGGAAAATATGCATTTATATACAGTTTTATTATTGTGAATACACATTTCCTAGATATCCAAGGATACAGATTTCCTAGATACAGCGAGTCATCGCAATTGGCTTTATTTAAATTCAATCGTTTGACATTTAGCAGGCTACCTACGTACAACGAATGCATAAATTGTAACCACCTTATCTTAGTTCCACAATCTTATTTATACGAAACAATGATGTATAATCATTTATTTTTGTGACCGTCTTATCATCATTTCTTAGCACTTTAGAACTTCGGAACCCACAACTTTATTTAAAACTAGCGACCCGCCCTCTCTTCGCTTCGGAAACATTAAATTTTGTTATTGATAGCTGAGTCCTGCGATTTTACCCGCGGGGCGAAGCTAGTCTTTAAAAAGTAGCCTAAGTTACTCCTTATATCATCAGCTAGTTATCAGTGAAAGTCTCGTCAGAATCGGTACAGCCGTTCCAGAGATTATCCGGAACAAACAGACGGACACACAGACAAAAATTGTAAAAAATGTTATTTTGGTGTATGTACTGTAGGTATATATATTCATATGCATGTAGTAAAAAGCGGTTATTTCAATATTACAAAAAGACACTCCAATTTTATTTATATGTATAGATGATCAAGCACACACCCTACAGAATAACCACAACAATTTGTTGTAGGTACATTAGTGTATAATCTATGCAACCACATCAACACCGAAGTCTAAATAATGGTTCTCGAAGTTATTTACACTTCTATAGGTAATTAAATGATTAAAATAAAACTTTAAGAGACTAAATCATTCAATTAAATATCAATTCAAAAATTAAGCTTCTCACGAGATCCACTACATTTGGTTTATAAAACGGTACATTCGATCAATTAAAATCCCACAAGATAGATACGTTTTATCAATTCCGTTAAAAGGATAAATGGTTAATTGACCCCCATCTGATGTAGTGGATCTATCAAATTAAACGGATAACAATTTCGGTATTATGTATGAAAGATATGAACTAATGTAAACCTAATATTTTTTTTTTTTTACTTTTCCCCAAGGAATGCGTGTAATTCGTTACCGGAGCTCATAGATGGCTTTAAAGGATAAGGTTTAAGTGTTAATTTCATTGTACTGAAAGTATTAGTAGGTATTAATGGACTAACTTCTATCCAAAAAAATATGTAATATTGCCTTTTCCGATACCTTTTACTTATTTTATTTTAAAATGAATCTCGTGCTTTTCTTTATTCATTCATTACTAGCGACCGGTCCTCGCTTCGAGAGCTGTAGTTTACACATAAAAGATAGATATATGCTGTCGCTGGCTTGATGGAATATTTAAGATAATCATTTCCATTATACATTATACACATACATACGTCTAACTTCAACGGTTTTTGCAGCGCGCGCCAGATTAACTTGCAGATGGCAGATTTTTCCTACCTACTTGACACTTATCGTTATATTTTGGGTAATTTACACAATATCTTTACAAATTATAGCCTATGTGTTATTCTGATGTGTAAGCTATATTATTGTTAAGTTTCATGAAAATCTATGCAATAGTTTTTGCGTGAAAGAGTAACAAGCAAACATTAATACATTCTTACAAACTTTCACATTTATAATATTAGTAGGATTCTATTCATTGTTACGTGAAAGATGTGGTTTATCATCGACGATCATTATATTTCTTCCATTTTCCTGACAGCAAGTACCTAAATCATTAAGTTAAATAAACAGACACGGAGATTAGCTCAACACAAGAACGGCTAAATGCTAAAGTTATTTAAATTAAAATCGTTTTATGACAACATTTTTCACCGATACACGGTCTCGACTTCCATAAACGTTAGGCGATTATGCGGCCGCGCCGACTATGGTAGCTAGTCTCGAGTCTAATTATCTAGGCGCTTTGGAGCTTGGATGTACTAACATGGAAACTATCTACTGTGGAAATAACAGTTTCTACATAATCAACTTTATCGACACATTAACAACGCACTTTAAATTTCTTTTAAATTCACACAGCATTTCAATATTTTTTTTATTGCTTAGATGGTTGGACGAGCTCACAGCCCACCTGATGTTAAGTGGTTACTGGTAAATGCGCCACCCACCTTGACATATAAGTTCTAAGGTCTCAGTATAGTTACAACGGCTGCCCCACCCTTCAAGCCGAAACGCATTAATTACTGCTTCACGGTAGAAATAGGGGGGGTAGTGGTACTTACCCGTGCGGATTCACAAGGGGTCCCTACCACCAGTAATTACGCAAATTATATTTTTTTTGCGGGTTTGATTTTTATTACACGATGTTATTCCTTCACCGTGGAAGTCAATCGTGAACATTTGTTATATACGTATTTCATTAGAAAAATTGGTACCCGCCTGCGGGATTCAAACACCGTTGCATCGCTAGATACGAATGCACCGGACGTCTTATCATTTAGGCCACGACGACTGCAAATTGTCATATATTCGTATTTCAATAATACATACTAGGTACCTAAAAATTTACCAGATTAATAGCAAAATAAAGCACGAAATACTTCTTGAACACTCGTCAAGTATCCGAACCTAGTTTTTAAAGTCGTCGTGGCCTAAAGGATAAGACGTCCGGTGCATTCGTGTTGAGCGATGCACCGGTGTTCGAATCCCAGGCGGGTACCAATTTTCCTAAAGAAATACGTACTCAACAAATGTTCACGATCGACTTCCACGGTGAAGGAATAACATCGTGTAATCAAATCAAACTCGCAAAATTATAATTTGCGTAATTACTGGTGGTAGGACCTCTTGTGAGTCCGCGCGGGTAGGTACCACCACCCTGCCTATTTCTGCCGTGAAGCAGTAATGCGTTTCGGTCTGAAGGGTAGGGCAGCCGTTGTCACTATACTGAGATCTTAGAACTTATATCTCAAGGTCTATGGGCTCCAGTAACCACTTAACACCAGGTGAGCTGTGAGCTCGTCCAACCATCTAAGCAAAAAAAAACCTATAATAATAGAGTGGCGAAAATAAACACTATCATTTTATAATGATCATAACAAAACATGCATTCTTAGATTAACAAAATCTACAATTTAAAATGAGTGGACATATTTTTTTCTATGTTACTTTATGATCATGTATGTAGGTTGGAGTGCCGTGTGCACAGCTCGTGTCTTCAATATACTTATCCGGCTTTCTGCCTACGATTTTTGTGGCGAGAAAACATTACGTCACAAGACCATTTAAAGACTTAACTTCAACTTTAAAATTTCGATACTCCGATGCAATACGAAAACTCAAAACATACGCAGATAAATTTGAAAATACGAATGTCATTTGTGCGATACCAAAGCGTTTTATGCATAACCAACTAGACTGTGACGAAATTCGCTTCAGTTAGATTATTTGAAACTTCCTACAAGAAATGGGAACAAGAGTAGTTAAATATGTGATGATTTCTGCGAAACAAAGTTTTACTTTAGCGACCTAGTTCTACGCAAATACGTAAGTGTTTCACGGACAGAAGTATCGATAAACAGTTTAGACCTCAAATAGTTAACTGAAGATGCAAAGTGGAGAAACGGAAGAGGATATGTCCGACGATCAACGTTTTTCTAGCGAGATAGAAATTAACTTAGGAAATCTGTCCGAATATGAAAAAGGGTTTTCAGGAGTTATTGCTCCCAACGTTTACCTGGAGATCGATGAGGAAAAGCGTCATAAAACATACGCAATTTTGCAAGAAACACGCCAGGATTTCTCTGAAAACAAACTAAAATCATTATTATTAATTTACACCAATAGTTCTTGGGACCTCTTTATACTGTGTTCTCTATTTATCTCATATTTGTTGGACAGTACCATTTACACTTTTTGCAAGCCCAACCAACGCCCTTTTTGTATTGTAGTACTTATAATCTGTTTAAACTTCATATTTATGTTCGATGTGATAGTAAAAGCTTTTTTAAAGTTCTTCAAGCAGTGGACTAAAACACTTAACATCGTTGAACCAGATACGATCAAGGTCATCTTAGATACAGTACTAGCATTGCCATGTGGATTTTGTTACTTTGTAGTTAATAGTGATTTTTCGTTTTACTGTCATAGTTTATCTCCATTGTTTGCCGCATTGCGAGTTTATAGGATCATAGAGTATTTCTACAATAAATCTTCACAAGCTGGGAGCAACCAATGGACAACATTTTTATTTCAATATTTGACGTTGTTTTTACTGTCCGTTCACACGAGTACGTGTATCTGGTATTTATTTGCCAATCAAAGTTTCGATTTGCACAAATTTTATTCGTCTTGGTCTCATTCGGCGATTTATTTTCCGATTGAATCTACATTAGATTGGTATTATGTTTGTGCGTATTGGTCAGTAACGATTTTAACTACTAATGCTCTTGGTGACCTCTACCCTGTTACGACAATTGAGAGAATCACTGCGATATTTGCAACTTTATTAGGATTCTTATTAACGACCATAGTCTTTGTGGGTTCGTTAACCTCTCAATTTTTAACAATAAGTACTAGACGAGCACAATATGTCAGACAGTTGATGAAAATTAGAAGATACCTCGAGACTATTAATATGGACTCTGAAACTACCACACGAATCTTAAAGTGAGTGAATTTAGATTGTATATTTGGTGTCACGAGCAAAAGTTTGTTTACCGTCAAGTTGATGGATAACATTCACTTTTTAGATACTATGAAGATCTTTGGTATCAGAAATCTGGAGTTTTCAAACCTGTACTGCTGAAAATGTTGCCGTCTCCGCTGCAAATGGAAATATGTTACGATTTGAACGCCGTTCCGCTGTATTGCTCTTTGTTATTTAGGAAGCTTCCGGAATCGTTCCTTAGGAGATTGTCACTGGCTATGACTCATCAATTTTACCTACCGGGTGATGTTATTTATAGTCACAACCAGAATAAGACCTTTATGGTAATCTTTTGTTTTCTATTTATAACTTTTAATTTTTAATTAGGTATCATAAGAACAACATTAACAGCTGCTTTTGGTTTAAGGTATGTCTCACTAAGGGTGTTATAGAAATACTATCTGATGAAGATGACGAGAGCCCGATGATTTCCTTTTCAAAAGGCACCTGTTTGGGCGAAATAGCTTTATTCCACAATATACCTGGTTTGTAGACATGAATTAGGTTGTTATACCCTATATAAATTACAATTTGAATTTAGACTTTAAAAGCTCAATACCTACGATTGCATTACAGCAAGATGTACAGTTAAAGCCGCGACGTACGTAGAATGTCAAGTTCTATCAAAAATAAGTTTTATACAACTTATGATCACTTATCCGGAGATAAATGAGAAATTAAGATCGGAAATTCAAGATCGAATACAAAAAAGCAAACGAACAAAACGAAATCGGGAAAATGAAAGGCGATTATCATTGAACATTTATGCTTCAAGAAGTCGAAAAAAAAGTAGTATTAAATGCGTTAAAGACAAATTAAGGTACATTCAAGGTAAGTTGGCAAGTTTAGGGACAGCTTTTGTTGAATCTTATGAAAAATTAAATCTAAATTTTATTAACAGGTAAAACAGATGTAAACAGTATAACCGACGAAGATGAATTGGAAGAAAGTTACTTAGATTTGTATATGATATCAGATCATGTGAAAAAAAGAATTTCCTATTTTACTTGCATAAACCCCTCATTTCCTTGGATCTTGGAAGCAGACTGTTATCTTGCCAAATATTGGGAGCACTACATGTTGCTCCTTGTTTTATACATTTGCATATTTTATCCATATTTTATCGGTATTTTAAGGAAATTTCCAGATGGATTAACCTTTTACATTCAAACAATTATCACTATATCTTTAATCCTTAACGTATTCATTACGAGTTTGACTGCAGTTAAGACGAAAAAGAAATACATTAGAAATTTCAAAGGCATACTAAGTTATAGGATGAACACTCTAGGTTTCTACCTAGATATTATTTCAATAATTCCATTTGAATACATAGTTACAATTCACAAAGCGGTCCATTATTCAGACAACTACAGAGACCATCTGTTTTATTTTTGCAAAGGAGTTAAATTGTGTTTGATATGGAGATTGTGTGATTACTTTGAGAAATTAGAAAATAAACTGCTTTTGAATACCATAATAATAAAGGTATAATATGTGTTTAGCAAGGCCTCGTATTATTAATAAGCTCTTATGTTATTGTTTCTTGTATTCTATTTGAATTATTTTTCAGATTTTAAAGTACTGCGTCTACATAATCTTATTGTGTTACTGGTGTGGAATTGTTTTGTATTTGGAATCATGCTATGTGAAGCGATGCCCCGAAATATCTTGGTTCAACCGAGCTCGTACCGTCGAGGACCAAGTAAAACGTAACGTAGCTTCTAGCAAGTGCGTGTCTATGTTAACGATAGGCTAGCCGACTGATTTTTTAATGTTGCCTCACAAAATATAGAAGTTAATACGGCAGTGTTTGTGAACTAACTAAAAATCTGCTAAATAATCAAAGATTAAGAAACTGTTATTTTAAACTAGTTGACCCGGCAGACTTCGTAGTGCCTCAATCGAAAAATAAAAGACCTAAACTATTGTATAAAATAAACTTAAAACAAACAAAAGGAATCCATCCGTCCGACGGGGGACACATCAAAGGAAAAATAAAATTGTTATTTTTATTTAATTCCGAACATTTTCGTATTTATTTACCTTTTAAACCTTCTCTGGACTTCCACAAATAATTCAAGACTAAAATTAGCCAAATCGGTCCAGCCGGTCTCGAGTTTTAGCGAGACTAACGAACAGCAATTTATTTTTATATATATAGAAGAAGAAGATAGAAGCTTAGATTAATATATATATGTTATTACTGATTCCTAAATTGTGAGCCTAAATATCTTTTGATAATTATTTTATATTTAACGAACCGGTACTTTGTGATGTCTATAAACTATTCCTCCTTGTGTCGCTCTCCTCATTATTGAGGGTTGTGACTCCCCCAAGTGCATCATTCTCTCACAAAAGGGGGGTTCTTTGACCTATTTGATCTCGGGGCCCACAAACCTTACAGTCTTCGTGTTCTAAAGGACAAGATGTCCGGTGTATTCGTATCGAGCGATGACACTATGCCGGTGTAAAATCCCATAAAATCTCACATGTAGGAACCAATTTTTTAAATGAAATACGTACTTAACATGTTCACGGACTACAGCACTAATTAAGGAATAGAATCATGTAACAAATATCAAACTTGCAAAAAAAAATTTGCGGGCTTAATTATTGATTGTAGGGCGTCTTGTGAGCCCATAAGTGTAGATATACCATACCACCGCTCTGCTTATTTTCACCAGAACGCATTATTGCGTTACAATTTGAAGATCGGGATAACATTGATACTATACTATTGAGACTTAAATCGACTTAATGTCTCGAAGTGGGTGGCAAAATTCACTAATAATAATAAATTAAAATAAAAACAACAAACTAATGCATTTCTTAGGTTTTAATACTAAACATTTCAGAGTAACGTATCCACTTTTAACATCCATGTACTTTTCTACGTCGATAATGTTATCTATCGGTTACGGAGATTTCGTGCCTGTTGATCAATACGATGTGGCAGTAGTGGCTTTTCTCAGCTTATATGGCGTTTTATTGGTCGGATACTGTATTTCGGAATTCTCAGCAGTCGTTACGCACTGGTCAAGGTAACGCAATAGGTTTTAAAACGTTCTTATTTCAACAAACAAACAACAGCAACAAATCCATTTTTGCGAATAAGAAATAATACCCGTATTTAGCTATTCAAATATCAAATAGTCAACGGATTTTTGTATATCTGTCTGTGCGCTTAGTGCAAGTTTTTTAACGTTCTCGATCGCGTGAAATCTTTTTTTTTATTGCCCTTGTAGGCAGACGAGCATACGGCCTCACCTGATGGTGAGTGGTTACCGTCGCCCATGGACTTCAGCAATGTCAGGGGCAGAGCCAAGCTGCTGCCTACAATTAACTCAAATTTGTACGCAGTTGGAACAGCGCCCCTAGCGGCAAACGTAGGCAAGCGTTCCAACTCCATACAAATTTGAGTTAACTTTTACGCTATCGAGAACGTTAAAAAACTCGCACTAAGCACACTGATTCCTTAAGCAAGTTTTTTTCACATAGAGGATACCTGAAACCTGTATAGTTTATATTAATATTTTATATAGTGTGTAGATAAATACAAGACCGATATCTGCGATTTCCGGAATACTTACTTAAAGTGATTGCTATTAAGATTTACGATAAAATATAATTTAACTACACTTTATTGAAAATGTATGTCTAACGTAACCTAAGCTTACCTACTAGTAGCTTTTTAATTAATATTGTTTCACAGAACTAAAACAGCATTTCTAGAAATAATTTTAACAGTGAACAAGTTTATGAGAGAGAACAACATGCACAAAACGATAAAGTCGAGAATTATGGCTTTCTACGAACTACAGTGGCAATACAATTCGGTACGAATGCAAACCATCTTATATCACGTACTTTTTACATGTCGTTTATAAATTTATTACGTGGGTAAATGAAAGAAAGTTGTTACAGGAGCCCATACCTTAAAGAACATCACAACGTGAATTTCAACTAGCCTTTTTTTATTGCTTAGATGGGAGCACGAGATCACAGCCCACCTGGTGTTAAGTGGTTACTGGAGCCCATAGACATCTACAACGTAAATGCGCCACCCACCTTGAGATATAAGTTCTAGGGTCTCAGTATAGTTACAACGGCTACCCCACCCTTCAAACCGAAACGCATTACTGCTTCACGGCAGAAATAGGCGGGGTGGTGGTACCTACCCGTGCGGACTCACAAGAGCTCCTACCGCCAGTAAAAGATATGAGATCGAAATCTCAATTATATTGTTTAACCGCAGTCTTACCTTCCCAACCGAATGCATGACTGCTTCACTGCGGAAATAAGCAGCATGGAGGGAGGTACACACGCGTGCGGTATTTAATGAATTTACAGATTATGCTTTATGAAAATAATTTATATTGTTTTTCACACGTTTCACGAAAGTAGATGGTAGGCAGCGACATGGCTGTGTCCCTTGCATCGCTGACATCCATGAGCGATGGTAACCATTTAGCATCAGGTGGGCCGTATGCTCGTCTGCCTATAAAGACATATAAAACAGTGCCTCGTTAGTCAAAATCAATAACTTGTCATATTACAGGGCGTAGAACTAACAGAAGAAAATTGGATAAAAAACTCGGTAATACCGTCAGAGCTTCGAAAGAAAGTTCTACATCAAGCAAGGTTCAAAGTGATAACGTCAATACGTTACTTCAAAGTAAAAAACAAGGCTTTTATACAGAGTTTAACTGAAAGTGATTACATTTTGTGCTATTTTCTATTTAGTTTCATATTTTTATTACAATTGTAGCATACTTTGTAGCGAAATGTAAATGAAACACAAAATGAAGTGTTAATTGTTTACCGGAGTCTATGATCTACACTATGTGAACGCTTTGACATATGAGGTCAAGTCTCAATAGTATTCTATAATGACTGTCCCACCCTTCAAACTGGAACGCATGAATACTTCGCGGCAGAAATAGGTGAGATCGTGGTACCTATCTATGTTAGCTTACAATGCTATCTACTACCACTAGTAATTATGCAAAAAATTTATTGGCGTTAAATGCTGACAGTCGCATCGCTTTATACGAGTGTACGTTTGGCGTTTAGGCCACGACGATAGAAAGAACTGGGGTATTTGGATATCTATATATTATTAATACGTGAAGCTAAAACTTTGTATCCCTTTTTACGAAAATTGCGCGGATGGAGGAATATGAAATTTCTCACACTCATAGACAATATAGAGAAGGAGTGCACAATGCTAATATTTTTTTAAAATAATACATAAAAGATACTTTAAATCAATAAAGAAAACATTACACATACTACATACCATGCATTTGACGCACACACGCATGCATACCTACTATTTATTGTCAAACTTTTGTTCTTGATGTCTGTGGTCAAACTGAGAATAAATTAAATATTGTTTGTCTTTATTAATATTTTTAATAGTGTGAATATAATATTAATATTTATTATTAATATTTAGCCTTGGTGAAATTTGTGATTATAGAAGTATAAAATACAACCATAATAGTGTACAAATTTACAATTCCAATTAATTATAGTCGAGTTTCGACTACTGCGGGACCTCTAGTTTATTTAAAACTGTCAATCTATCTCTTTTAGTGGCCCATGACGTCATATTGCCCCCCGGCGAAATATTGTACTATAGCGGCACAATTACCAGGGAAATGTATGTAATTGAGAGTGGCTACTGTATGCTCACTTATATGACCGAAAACAACAAAAAACATGAAAGGATTATAGGTCCAGGAAATCATCTTTGTCTGCTGGTGCTACTATACGGAGTCCCCGCTATTTATACTGTTATTACAAAAACTCATTGTAAAGTAAGTCATTATTTGATATTTGTTTTCAAAACATACAATAGTTCATACATACAATTCAATGTTTGAGTTAACAGATTTATATATATATATATATATATATTTGTATTGCTAGATGGGTGGACGAGCTCACAGCCCACCTGGTGTTAAGTGGTTACTGGAGCCCATAGACATCTACAACGTAAATGCGCCACCCATCTTGAGATATAAGTTCTAAGGGTCTCAATTATAGTTACAACGGCTGCCCCACCCTTCAAACCGAAACGCATTACTGCTTCACGGCAGAAATAGGCAGGGCGGTGGTACCTACCCGCGCGGACTCACAACAGGTCCTACCACCAGTAATTACGCAAATTATAATTTTGCGGGTTTCACTTTTATTACACGATGTTATTCCTTCCCCGTGGAAGTCAATCGTGAACATTTGTTGAGTACGTATTTCATTAGAAAAAATGGTACCCGCCTGCGGGATTCGAACACCGGTGCATCGCTTCAACACGAATGCACCGGACGTCTTATCTTTTAGGCCACGACGACTTAATATTATAATGATGATGAATTATAATGATCTCAATGTATTCGTTTATTAATGTACGAAATAAAAAACAAATATACCATACTAAGAAATCAGGGCGTATCGAAGTCAATCGGCAGGGTCATGGTACGTAACCGTCTGAGCTAACAATACGTCCTACCGTCAGCAATAACCAGTAGTAGGATCTTACATAGGATCTATTTTTGCTTAGGTGTTTGTATTTTTAAAACGACTATATACTATGTGTACAAGATAAAAACGTAAATATACCGTTCATATAATACTATCATTAAAAGACAAATGAATGTGCTATTCAAATGTAGAAGAACTACTTGGAAGACAGATAAACAGATTTCAATAACACATTCCATTCCACTCCATAGACAATATAGGTAGTCTGAAGTTGTTTGAAGTATCTTGTAACGCAATAAACTTAATTGAATAAGCAATTTCGAAAAGGGCACATCTCTGAAAATGTAAAATATCTAGGAAATGAAAAAAACTGATTATTTTCTAAAGCAGTGTAAAATTTTAAATATTAACTTTTCAGATATATTTTAGTGTTCATTAGCAATTGAAAATTACTGAAATTATTATAAAACGGGTGTAGGTAAGCCTCAAAACTACATTATATGAAAAAACGTATTTGACAAAATATGCGACATGTGCCCTTTTTGAAATTGCATATTCAATTAGATTATGTACAAGGCCCACTACCCTCAAATTTTTCATAAAATTGACTTTTCCAGCTGATATCTATAACTTATTCGGCATACTCGTCGGCTCTAAGTCTCTTCCCTGACATGAAAGAACACGAGAATCTATTAACTTCAAACGAGCTCCAGTACATTGAATCATTGTCTAAATTGCAAAACGTTGATATGTACGTTAAACATCGATTTTGTCCGAGAAGTAAGAAAGTAATTAAAATTACAGGAATCCTTCAAGATTTCTTTGACGGTACGTGAAAATCTGAATGATATGACATTACTTAAGGGACAAACTTCTACTCATAAATATCTGAGATTCGAATGTATATATTTTTATATACATATATAAAGCTCGTTTATTCATTTTTAATAGATTAGCATCATATACACGCCAGAGATATAGTTTTTTTTTATTTTTAAAGTAAACGATTAAAGTCCATTAGATAGATTTGACAGACGTGATTTTTATTTATTTACACAAGTTTACTTTCTTCCCAAGATTGTATTGCATTGCACGTTTTCAAATTGGGGAAACATCTCAGTGCGGCACCGTAAGAGGTAGTTACGTGTAGTTTCATTTTGGATCTTCCTTTAATTTATGAAAATTGTAAGTCAGCCTTCAATTATGATCGCTCAGGAAAATGTATGTACTCCAAGGAAACTAATTGGAGAAAAGCTATGACAAAATTCGGGAGAGACCCGGGTTGATGTGTGTTAAAAATATTGTTAAAATATAAGCAAGGGACTTTTGAATGCTGTGTAAGAAATTCTGTTAGACCAACCTAATGTTACTTTGCCGAAAAATACCATTACATTTTGCATGGGCGTTTCGAAGTCAAAAACAAACCTAGCAAAATTAAGGCAGACGAGAAGCTACTTGCACTACTCCTCGCGATGAACATTTAATAGATAATGGAGAATAGTACACCATAATTTGTTTGCGTCGCAAAGACCCATCCCATTTCGATATAGCTATGCTTCAGCGAACACCGCAGAAGACAATCAATTTAAGGCCCTGGCAAGGTGGAGCATGACCCATCCTATTCATAGTTCAGAATTAGCACGATGTGCTTTTTTTAACTTCAAAAACCAAAGATTTGACACTTAGAGGCTAGGACAGGCCGTGATTGTATTTTCAAAAATGGTTTCGACGAATGAAAAAATATTTAAAGTAACGTGGATCAGTTTGTAATGTTATGCAATGTTTGGCTTATATGTTAAATAAAATCCGTAAGGTACAGGAAACAGAAATCCAAACAATTTAGGTCTTGTACTTTTTTCATGTCTCGATCCATTATTAATTTTTTTTAATCCCATCAATACCCTTTGCTTTCAGATTCTTTTATCAACGTTATCACTTATTATAACCAAAACAAAATGAACTATATGAATTCTTATAATCAATTCACCGCGCTCAGTAACATCGCACGCTATGTCCTACTGCCAGTCGTTATAAAACCTGATGGAATATTTCTAAGCATCTGGTGCATAATCAGAGTTTTTTCCGCATTTATACTCAGTTTATTAATACCGGTAATGGTTCAGAGAATATTTTGATATCTTGATTACATTTAGCAAATTTACCATAGAGAGAATAATAGATTGGTCGGAGTTAAGATGTGTTTGTGTCCTCGAGAAAAAAGGAAAGGGATGTGCTCTTGCGTATCTTATTTGTTTACTCCAAAAAGAACCAAAGACCTAAAAATAGGCTATTAAACAAACTTAACCGACTAATCCGTTTTTTATTTTAAATCTTTCTACAAAATATGGCTGTGGCGTTTATGAACGCACATTTTTATGATGCGTAAGCCGGAACGCACGAGAGGTGGGAAAAAGAATATAGTCTGTGACACAGGACCTTTTTACCGCCAAATATTTAAAACGTAAAAATAATTTATAATGTGTTAAATAACTAATATAACGTAATTACTTAGAATTGTTTATGCCGCTATAACAATAAAATTTATATTGTTCCAACTGTGGTGTTAATTACATAAAACACGACTTTACGGCGAAATAAAGAAGGGACTCTATATAAACTCCCTCATGGCTATTACCTCCCATTCCAATAATCTGCGATACATTTGTATTTATGCACAGGAACGTACCAAAATATTTAAATTATGTATTTTTACAGTATTTTTGATGTCCGTACAGAAATAATGTAAATAATAATTAACAATTAATTAATACAAGAAACTAACTTTTTAATCCATTAATGTATGTTCAAATTGTTTGTAATTAAGAGCTAATTATTTTTGTATGGAATAAAGAAAGCTTTATTATTATTATAGTATTTTAGTTCCAGAATTCCTAATTAATGCCATATCACCATTCAATTGAATTGTGACGGTTGATCTTTAGCATACTTGCGGAAGGGCTAATTAACAAATCTTTCTCTCAATACAGGTGGCAGTAGCAATGGCTCCTCTATACGGGTCATTTGCAGTGACAATATCGACTTTTGAATACATTATGTACTTAGATCTATATGTAATGATGCATGTGGCATATTACGGAGAAAAAAACCAGTTAATATTTCATCCATATCTAACAGCTAAACGATATATTAAGGTTAGTATCCACACATCAAATTATTTAATTTCAGTCTGACAAGTTATTAAAAAATGTTATTATTTCCAGGGTCCATTCCTCGTAGACCTGATAACATGTTTTCCTTGGTTTTTGTTATGGTTACTATTCATACCAAAACACGATGAAGGACACACAACTCAAGATCATCTGACTCATAATCACTTTTCCCACTGCATTGTAAAAATGGTAAATGTTCTGCAGATATATAAACTCTGCACGGCTTTTTGGGCTGATTCTATCAGTGGTTTGAAACGGGTAGGTCATATACCTAGTAGGTATTTAATATCACTTTAATCGGACCAAGATTTACTGCTAACCTCTTCTGTATTTTGCAGGCGTATCTCATGAGCGTTGTCCAATTCTTTCTATTAACATTATTTTTTTTGAATCTATACGCTTCAATTTTGATTATGCTATCTTGTACATACGTTATTGGTACAGATATAAATGACTATTCAGTCAAAATAAATCGGTTGCAATCGCTAGAAAAGTATGTAAAGTCTGAATACAATCCAGGTGGAAATATGGCATGTCTGCGTGGTGAGTACACAATCCCTGTTTACCCAGTATGCTATCACTGTCTGTTTCTACCGCGAATCAGTAATATGTTCCGATTTGAAGGTTGTGAACTTAAGACTTCCACCTCATGTCGCAAGGTTGATGATCGCATTATCGATAATAATGTATCATTTTTAATTAATTTAATTTAATCAATCTTATCAGCAAATCAACGGATAAGTATAATCATTTTTTTCACATTAAAATTTACACTGTTTGATAATTTACAAGCGGCCCGCTCCGGCTCCGCTCGGATCTTTAACAAAAATTTCAACGAGAATTTAGTGAAAGAATTTATCAAATCGGTTCAGTAGTTTCGGAGCCTATTCAATACAAACAAACAAACAAATCTAACCTTTTTATAAAATTAGTATAGAAAACGGAATCTGACACATAAAAGGATTTTACTCCATAGGTTCATGGATAGACATGATAGACGAAAAAAATGATACGCAGTATCCACCATCAACAGTATTTCTCTTGGCTTATTATTGGGCTGCTGCAAGTCTCAGTGGCGCAGGCTTTGGAGACATCACAGCGCAGGATACCGGACATCTTGTATTGTCAATATGCGCTAATATCCACGGACTGCTATTTTTTGGGTGAATCAATTATGGTCAATATTAACAATTCCAATTTTCATTTTTACTAATTAATTCCATTTTTTTTTCTTTTAGATACGTTTACGCCAGGATAGCGTCGTTGAAAGCGATCGCCAATACGGTCGTTACAAAATTTCAAGAAAATATGAAACATTTACAAATGTTCTTGAATAGAGAAAAGGTTCCTTTGAATTTGAAGAAGTCAGTAATTGAATATTGGAAATATCAATGGAAAAGAACGGGTGGATGGTGTGTAAGTATTAAGTTCGTACGGCAAGGCAATGGACAATCATCATGTTCACGATTGACTTCCACGCTGAAGGAATAACATCGTGTAATAAAAATGAAACCCGCAAAATTATAATTTGCGTAATTACTGGGGTAGGACCTCTTGTGAGTCCGCGCGGGTTGGCACCATCACCCTGCCTATTTCTGCCGTGAAGCAGTTATGTTTCGGTTTGAAGGGTGTGGCAGCCGTTGTAACTATACTTGAGACCTTAGAACTTATATCTCAAGGTGGGTGGCGCATTTACGTCGAAAATGTCTATGTGCTCCAGTAACCACTTAACACCAGGTGGGCTGCGAGCTCGTCCACCCATCTAGCAATAAAAAAATATATATTCACACATAAATTATTATAAATCACAATATTATTTTTAGCATCAGTTAATTCTTGATAAACTCCATTCGAATTTAAAAGAAGACGCAGTTTTATACATGTACGAGAAAACGCTTAGGGAAATACCACTGTTCGAAAACTTGGAATATGCTTTTTTTCGAGCGGTGGCCAAGAAGCTTCAAGAGAAATATTTTCAAAAAGGTTTCATGATTTTGAAATCACACGAAGTAATGAGTGATATGCATATAATATATCGTGGCAAGGTACTATCAAGAATTTCCGTAACAAATATATGTATAACTCTAGTGAATTAAAGTCTATTAAACTTTTAAAAAAAGGTGGACATAGTATCAGATATAAATGAAGTCGAAGCATGTATGGGACCTGGAGGTATTTTCGGGAACATACGAGGTGCAAGCAGATACTTGACCAAGTCAAATGTTATAGCTTCCAGAAATACAGATCTATTGAGTATTGACGGAAGAGAATTTTACAATTTACTAAAGGCAAGGTTCTCAAACAGTTATCTGTTTTTTTTTACCATATATTACGTAGGAGTTCTCCGAGGTCTATTTCAAGGAATTAGTGGAAATGGAGCCTTTATTTTCGTTTTACACACAACCCGCTGCCGGAGCAGAGTTCATCCTCAGTACGTAGAAGGGTTGCGATCATTTTCAATACTTTTATAGGAATACTAGCTGTACCCGTCCGCTTCACTGGGCATTTAAAATTAACATTATTATTTCTCATTCCCACAAATATTCTCATCATTAACGCCTCCGCAACTGGTGTAGGGAGTCCAACACTCATATAAATATTAGCCTATTCATTAAGTACATGTATATTCTACATGGATACCAAGTTTCAATTCAATCGGATGCATGCTTCAGTAGTTATAACGGAACATCCGTAAAAACCACTAGATTTATATATTAGTATAGATTTTGTCCGCGTACCATCCGGCTTCAAAATTATCTCCGCTGTGTCCTTTTTAATCGAGGTTTGAAAACGATGAGCAATAAGTAGTTGCTTTGCTATGCCTATAGCAGTGTTCAAGTCTATGAGCGACAGTTAGCACTCATCATCAGCGTCGTATACTCGTTTATCTTCGTAGACTGCTATATATACTATACTATAATATAATATATACTACAGTTTTAAGGTTAAGTTATACACTATAGTTTTAAATCTTATTAGTGAGTTATTACGTTAACTTCGTTACAGAGCTATCCCTCTGTGCTAAAGAAAGTTAAAGAATCAGTTGATTCAGCGGCCAAAGATTACGTATTGCCAACGTTTTCATTTGATAAGGACAGCGATGACGTAAGTAATAATACCATAACTAAAAATTGATTTTAAAGTTACTTTATTGTTGTTTTTTTTTACAGATTGAAACATATGCTATGAGTTACGAGCCCGGTGATAATGATGACGAAAACGAAATTGATATTTCACAAATGGAGGTAGGCACTCTTTTAGTTAAGCTGTACATAAGTATCAACGTGCGGTATCAACGAATTATCCTATATTTAATATGTTTTAGAGTCCCGAAAAAAGTAATGCCGAATCACACGGATCAAGATCATTAACATCAACCTATTTATATTTCACATCGGCAACGTTTTTGATTTTTAAGCCACACAGGTATTTTTTTTTTTATTCTACCCTCATTCTATTTTTTTATTATTTCTCAAGTATTTTTTCCATTACAGATGGTTCCGACGGAGCATCATACCTGACAGTAAATTTATAATATTCATGGGTAAGTTATTAAACAAAGGATAAAACGATTAAGTACTTTTAAATTAAAAAAATGTTTTATAAGTCATTAATTTTTTATTTTCCAGAATACTTAATTATCGTCGCATCTTACGTCGACTTTATGTTGCTTATTTATCAAATGGCATTCCAATCAATTACTTATTTCTTTTACGAATGCGTCGTGGTGGACGCTCTTTTCATTTTCAAATTGTTCTTGGACATTCACACCGGATACTTGAACAGATATGGAGATTACGTTTTGAGCCCAAGGAAAGTCCGAGAAAAGTGTGTAAAAAACCTTAAAAAGCTTTATTATTTAACTATTTCAGAAATTATCGATCTACATGATATCCTTATTATTAGAATTAATTAAAATTATTTAGAAAAAAAAGCGCTGGGTCTCGTTGGACCGGTCGCACTGGAAATCTATTGGAGAGGCCTATGTTCAGCAGTGGACGGCGATAGGCTGAAATGATGATGATGATGATTTAGAAATAATTAAAAAATACGCGGGTAGGTAACGCAATCTTGTCTACTTCTGCGGCGAAGCTTGCATTTCGGTTTGAAGGGTGGGACAGATTTCGAGCTCATATCCCAATAGCAGACTTCATGTTGTGGTAACTTTAGCCTCCGACACCAACTTGACCGCAGGTGGGCCATGTTCTCGTTCATACATCGAGTGCAATAACAAAAAACACGAGTAAAATTATATCAACCGTGGACTGAAAAAATGCACGGATAACACAGTAAAAATCGTTTGAATATAATTGACATAATTTATCAGTTGTAGTAATTATATGACACTTATGCACGTAATTGCACAAATTATAATTTATCGGGTTTGATTTTTATGACACGATGTTCCTCACCGTGGACGTCAATCGGGAACATTTGTTAAGTACGTATTTCATTAGAAGATTTGGTACTTGCTTGCGGGATTGGAACACCGTTGCATCGCTACATAAAGTGTGTAAAGTGTATAAAGTGTGCTACAGGTAATGGTAGATCACTGACTGACTGCGTGCCATCCCTGCAACCCTTTTATAGTCGATACTACATCCCTAGAATTATCGAGAATATTCCACACATTTCGAGTATTGTGTTTCCGCTATCTGACAATAGATGGCGTTGTACTTCTCGAGCGTAGGTGCTTCTAGATCCTTCGATATTCGTTCGACTATTCGGCGATAGATACTCTTACCGGCGTAACAGTGTTCTGTTAAAATGGACACGATCCACTCTATACAGATATTCTTTCCGTTTTTCAGGTACTTCTCGAATATTTTTCTACGTAGACTTGATTTTTTGGCGAACTTACCAATTAGTTATATAGCTTTTACTCTATCACTAAAACCTTCAACGCAAATGATATTCTTTTGTTATCTTCGCACGCCGCAGCTATTCAGGATTTCTTACATGTTCAGTTATCGAAGCCAGAAAAATACAAACATAGGAACCGGTAATCTACTATTTAAACTGACGTGAGTGCCAATCGTATAATTAAAATTAATAAATGATAACAGCAGGACCGATCCTTGAAGCAAATATTTGAGTCGATCAAAAGAATAAGCTTACGCATCAAAGTCATTCATTAAAAATACTGTTTCCTACAGATCTATTGCAATTTGGGCAACAATACTTTCACATATAAACGCCTGTATATTTTTCAAGTTATCGTGCCTTACGCCTGTGCATTGTACGTCCACTAATTGGATGTCGAAGAAAGAACTTAACTTAACCCACAAGTATATACAGGTACGATACTGTAAACCAATAATAATGATAATCGTCATCTATGTATATAAATTTCAGTACAGCTGAATATACAATTTCCTCATACAGCACAAGCGCTTAAAGTCAAATGGGTTTCTGTAACCTTGGTCTAATTGTCTGTTCGCTTTGCAATCCCAATTTAATTTCCAATCAAGAATTCTCGCAATTATTATTCAAATCTATTTACTACTCTCGTGATATGTCCTGCCTAATGTCAACATCAGCTTGCTAAGTGTGGGCTGGCAGTCACGCGCTCTTCTGTGGATTTTTTCGTTATAGTATCTCGTAGACATGAAAAATGGCCCGTACTTAAACTGTTTGCCTCTGGGCTTTCTCATAAAGCCAATTTTGATAATTTAATTTCATGGTCTTAAGTCCTCACTGTCAACATACATAAATTGTAGACTTTAGTCTTAAGATACTGCTCAAAAATGAGACCTTAGTTTCCAGAATGTTCCTCAGCCGGGTCGAACATATCGAAGTTTTTATGGCCCCAAATGCTCAGTTTTGTATTTACTCCTATTGTTAGCCAATAAGCGGTACTCTATTTCTCGTGACCAGCATTTGCCGGCCAAGTTTTATCTCGATTCAATCAACAAAATAATTATTTTTGGGTAAAGAAAACGTATGAAAAAACTTTCAGGAAAGTTACTTCACGATTTACATTGCGTCCTTGTGGTACGTGATCAACTTGCTAACCATTACGGGAACTGGAGATGTAACAGCACAAAACAATTTCGAAGTTATAGAAACTATTATCATCATTATCATTATAAAATTCTGCACAGGTAGGTACTCGTATACTGTATAACGTATTGTATGTAAATTTTACTGGTGGTAGGACCTCTTGTGAGTCCGCGCGGGTGGGTACCACCACCCTGCCTATTTCTGCCGTGAAGCAGTAATGCGTTTCGGTTTGAAGGGTGGGGCAGCCGTCGTTACTATACTTGAGACCTTAGGGTGGCGCATTTACGTCGAAAATGTCTATGTGCTCCAGTAACCACTTAACACCAGGTGGGCTGTGAGCTCGTCCACCCAACTAAGCAAAAAATAATAATAATAATAATACTGGCTTTATGGGTACGTAAGGTTAAGGTTAAGTTTAACTATGCCGCAAATCATTAATGCGTTCTGATTTGAAGAGTGAAACAGTCATTGAGGCTTTGATCTCATGACTCAAGCATGCGGGTTGTAATGTATATGGCAGGCGAGAGCTCGTCAGCTTATCCAGGCAATATCAGCTCTGAAAGTTTCTATTGCGTTATGGCATGTACTTTTCACATATCGATTTGCTTATGATCCAATGGACTACGAGTATAAGCCCTAACGACAACAAAAACCTAGTGTTGTCTTAACAGTTTGGGGGAAAAACTTTAGATCTTTTTGCATATCAAACAGCGTAGTAAGTGGTATAAAGTATATTAATCACTTTTGTAGCTCGCTTGTTCGTCCCGTTCAGAAAAATGATAAATTTATATTCGTAATTCGTAAAAAATCGCAAAAATAATTTAATTTGTACAGGTCTTCTAATATCGGAGATGTCAGCATTAATATCAGCGCATTCATCATCGCGAATAGCTTACGACTACGGCATAAATGAGCTTAGGGATGGCCTAAGAGACATGGGTTTGAGTGGCCATCAAATGGAAAAAATGTGGGCCTATGTAAAAGAACTGTGGAATCGACAACAAGGAAAACAGGTTTAAATTTCCGTTGTTTACATTACATTGCTGCATATTTAATTTGTATATGCTATATTATATAAAGGATAAGACGTCCGGTGCATTCGTATCGAGCGATAAAACGGTGTTCGAATCCCGCAGGCGGGTACCAATTTTTCTAAACAAATGTTCACGATTGACTTCCACGGCGAAGGCATAACATCGTGTAATAAAAATCAAACCCGCAAAATTATAATTTGCGTAATTACAGGTGGTAGGATCTCTTGTGAGTCCACACGGGTAGGTACCACCACCCCGCCTATTTCTGCTTTAAAGCAGTAATGCGTTTCGGTTTGAAGGGTGGGGCAGCTGTTGTAACTGTACTGAAACCTTAAGATCTCAAGATGGGTGGCGCATTCACGCTGTAGATGTCTATGGGCTGCAGTAACCACTTAACACCAGGTGGGCTGTGAGCTCGTCCACATATCTAGCCAATAAAATTTTACATTAACCATCATAAAGGAATCTGTAACATTTGGTGCCGCAATTCCAAGGAGTTTCCATGCAACCTTCCACGAATACTGGGATACTTGGGGTCGACGTTCCGAGTAATTTCCAATTTCAGAGCCATTTGGGGGGCAAAGGCAAGTTGGCGTCCAAAATGCTGGGAGTCCTCAACAGAGCGAAGCGGCGCTTCACGCCTGCACAAAGACTTTCACTTTATAAAGCATAAGTGCAGCCTCGCGTGGAGTACTGTGTGCTTAGTGCGAGTTTCTTAACGTTCTCGATAGCGTAAAAGTTAACTCAATTTTGTATGCAGTTGCAACAGCGCCCCTAGCGGCAAACGTACGCAAACGATCACATTCCATACGAATATGAGCTAACTTTTACGCTATCGAAAACGTTAAAAAACTCGCACTAAGCACACTGCTCCCACCTCTGGGCCTCATAGCAACTTTAGTGGGTTTTAATTTACTAAAATTACTTAATATTTTTTATTGTAGATGCCTGAATTAGTCCTGAACTTGCCAAGTCGCCTGCGCAGCCAGGTGATGTTGGCTGTGTACGGATCTCATATCAGGGACTCTGTTATATTCAAGAGAACCGAAGAAGATTTTCGGAGAATGTTGGCTCTGTGGATGAGACATTGTGTATTCTTCCCCGGAAACTACATAGTACAGTGCGGAGACTCGGACCAATGCATTTATTTTATCCACAGAGGACAAGTAATTGATGAATTTAGGTTGTAACGCAATTTAACAAAATCAAACTGGAGATATTTGCTAATTTGTATAAATTGTATAAAGCATTTAGACATGTTATTTCTCTCATTAGTTTTCAAAAACTTTTAACGTATTAAATTTAACTTTGGCAACATTTAAACAACACGATTCCCTTACAGGTGGAAGTTTTAACAGTTCATCCTAATTTGACGGAGTCCATTTACGATATTTTGGGGCCCGAGGACAGCTTCGGTATCGCACAAGTACGTTTGGATCTTGTCATGATTATCTTACACTTCAGAGATTAATCAACGATTGACACAGATAATAATATGTTAGATTTAAGGTATCCTTTGCCAGCGTTGCGAATACTGTCGCCTCTAGTTCTAAAATTAGTGCTTTGAGTTACCGATTGATCATACATCGCATTCAATTCTGACAAGAAATTGTTGGAGCAATGTAGTGTCCCGAAAACACAAGCGACACGACCGAGATGGACCACAAGCTTATCGGTCACGGGTCTTTGAGGTAGTCATGGATTTACTTCCAGTATTAACCACAGTCGCCCCTCGCCAGAGTTCCGTTCTTTACAGAGCTCGGACTTTACGGGTTAAAGTAAACCTAACGAGGAGGGCATCTCTTAGGAAATTGAGCCTAGCCCCTATAGATATACGACAAAGGGAAGATCTTCTACCGAGCGGGTGATCGACGGTCCGAATGTTGTTGTTCGGAACTTGTATACCTACATGCAAGCTTATCTTGAAAATGTCGTTAACGAGATTCAGGCATCTGTCAAATATCTTGCGTTATATGATGGCTACCGCCACACCCCCAATATACAAAACTATCATAACGTCAATGAGGTCATTCAAATCAGTTTCGCTATTTCAAGTTATTGAAAAACATATTATTATGTTCTTTACAGGGTTTATACGTTGGAGTCTTACATCATTTCTCATTTCGAGCGCGCACCGTCGTCGATATTGTATACTTGAAATTGGAACAATGGAAATATTTGTTGGATTTTTATCCGAAATCCGCGAAAATCGTCCAGAAGAAAGTTGAGAATATGTTTTTAGCTATTTAGTTTTAATTAGAAACGGTTGAATAAATGTTTTGTTGTTTTAAATGTTTATGAAACATTCAAGTAAAATTGAAATTTTCGATTCTAAAAAATATAAAATGTTAAATTGATGAATTTTATTTGAGAAAAAAATACAAAATAGAGAAAATAAGTATATACATTGACACGATTTGAAACACTGGTCTGTTTTAGAAAAGAATTCTGACCGAACTTCATTACTCGTGTAGATCAATTGCGTAGCTACATTTTGTATTAAAGAGCTACGTACTATTTATGCCAGCCAAATTACGTTGCTTGTAAATACAGCAAAAATAAGGGCAAATTAAAAATATATATTTGTTCTAAGTTCCACATAAAAAACTACAACTACATAAAAATACATTTTGTACCATAAATTCATTCTCTCTTCCTTTTTCTAGAGAGACGTCGTATGTTATCTGTATTTTGACTTCTTTCCATTTCTTCTGTATTATCACTTTCTACATTGGAAGCTGTTGAATTCTCCGACCTTTCTTCAATTGACTGTGTGTCTTCAAAGGTTTGAGTTATCTGAGTCATTCTGAAATATTTTTATGTCTTTTTAAAAATCATATTTCTAAGGTCATCGCTTATTTAATTCTGCCGCGAAGAAATAACGTATCTCGGTTCGAATGATGGATAGGCTTTTACACAATCAGAATGATTGATGTCAACTAGCTCTCCTTACGGATTAAACTGCTCTTCAGCATAACAGTGACAAAAAATGGTACATAACTTAAACGTCTTAAAAGTTACACTGGTGGTAGGACGTCTTGTGAGTCCGCACAGGTAGGTACCACCGCCCTGCCTATTTCTACCGTGAAGCGGTAATATGTAAGGTGTAACTATACTGAGACCTTACAGCTTATATCTTAAACCCACCTTAAGATGTATATGGGCTCCAGTAACCACTTAACACCAGGTGGGCTGTGAGCTCGTCCATCCATTTAAGCAATAAAAAAAAAGTTAAAAAGAAGAGCCTATCAATGATGAGGCAGTAATATTAAGAATTATCACAAAGTATGTTACATTTATGCATAAAAGTTAAACTTTTGTTATAATCGAATTGTTCTAGTCCAGGGCTGTCCAGACAACGGCGCGGCAACAGCATGTTTTAATCAGAAAATAGTTTTGGATATAAATACTTTCATATCATAGAATACGATCATAGAATCCTTTGTCAAAACATATACCTAATCAATATTTAATTTTGGTATAATTTATCTTCATTCTTGTAACATTCCATTCCCATGACATCAATTATAAGTGAAGCTATATTTTACTATTATTGGCGGAATTCCCGGAATGTATTTTGTTTTTGAGGATATATTTTCCTGCGGCCCCCTGTCAACGTAGTAAATTTAATTAGCCCGTAGTTTGGACAGCCCTGTTCTAATCAATGCTAACAGTATATATCCTAAGGAAGGTAACTCTGTCTTTCTGTTAGATTTTCACGCGAAAATCAGTGAACCGATTTAGACGACATTTATTACAGAAATTTCATTATAATAGACAAAAAACAAAGGCCATCATTTATCCCAACAAGTCTCCGCCCACCAAATATAAAGTAAAAACCATATGGTCAAAGCTGTCGGAAAACTAGTAGCACTATATGCATTGTAATTTGAGATCAATTTGAATCGAAAAACGATACGATACGATAATGTTTTTGTAATAATTGATAAAAGGCCAATTATTATTAGGGCCTTATCTTTCACATATCCATAAACACCCTTCGATTTCAAGTAATTCTTGTATGTTTGGTATTGAACAATATTCGCTTGAATAAGAATATGGAAACTGATATCACAATTGATATTTTAAATTGAATACAAGAAGGAGCATAACACTATATAATATACTTCACCATAATGACAATGTTGTGGAGCGTGACCCAAATTTCTTTTCAAAGTAGTTCTGAACATATAAAAAATTCTGAATAGGTTTATGTTATTCTTATTTTAATTTTAGATAGCAAAAAAATACTATACTGTAGCACATCCTTATTGCAAGAGCTTAGGAGTCGCAATCAAACACCTTAAATTGTAGATTATAACGAGAAGAATCACTCACCTCTGGCTTTCGTTAAGTTGTTTCAGTTGATCTGGACTGAAGTTGATTTTACAACAAGGCCATTTTTTTATTTTTTCTAAATATTGATTAAGGCATCTAGTGTGAATAGCTTTTTCACATGCTATGCAGTTAGCCCCCTGAAAGAGAATCATTCAAATAATCAGTAAATATTTTTTATTAAGCAAAAAACAGAAGCCTAATAATTTTGTCAAGTCAGTCCTCTATGTGCCAGTATGTAGTAACCATTTTACCTCCATAGATACTCAATTAAATATAGTCCTTTAATATGAGTTGATGAAGATTTATAAACACAATTTAACAACTTACTTTTACTTGAGATAGAACTATCATATTTAGGGAGATAAATTTGCAGAAAACCATATTCATCTATTGTATTTGGGCTTTCATATGATTGTTAGGCAGCAAAATTGTTTAGATAATGTAACTTGCTATTGTAATTCAATTACAAAAAATATGCATGATTCTTCATTGACGAATTCTAATTAATTAATCAACAGGAGAGTTTTACAATGAGGAATAGTTAACTAGTTAAAGCTGTCAACTTATGCACTTTATCTTAACACATTCTGTATTAAATGGCAACAAATTAAGAGCTTTACATGTCGTGGGTAGTAGTGGAAATGTACTTAAGATACCAGTATTACACTCAAATCTGGAACAGCAAATATCTTTAACAAAGACTTTGAATAAAAATCCAATCCCTTTGTAAAGCATCTATGGACACTAATCAACAGACCGGGAAGGCAATCAAACCGTTAGTATCAACAGAATAGGTAAAATAACACGATGAATGATTAATCTACACTGCCTATTCAATCACGATCGTTGCAGTATTTTTTTCATGATAGCAACTTTTTTAGCATTTAGTTTATTAAGTATACAATAATTAGTTAAAGTTCAGATATATTACCCAAAAAACATTTTTCTTACAAATGTAACAATCTTTCATTACATCAGGCATGTATTTCTCAAAATAATCTTCAAATTCATTTATGGTTCTCACACCTAAGCGGTATTTATTTTGTATCTTCTCTAAGTAGTATATTTTACACCATTTAGCCAATAAATCCTGAAACATTTCGATATGAAATTTATCATTTAAATACAACATTTGTAATCATAGTGACCTTAAAATTGAGTAAAAAGCTAACTTTTTACTCAATTTTAAGGGTCACTCTCAGTAGGATGGTCAGGTAAGTCATAAGGGACTTAGAGATTATGATAAAATTTTCATAGAGACAAACTTATTTATATTCATTTATGGTTTGTTGTGTTGTTTTTATTATTACATTATGTACACTGTCACAAGTAGCCTGTACAATATAGCATTACTGTTTATACAATAAAATTTTTAAAGAAAATAAATACTCTATTCAATTAGTAATACTGTAATACATACTTCAGCTTGGAGCATTGATATTTTCTGGCCCATTTTATTAACTAAATTAATTGCATTAATGCCTGTGATTTCTCTTACATCAATACTCATTATTTCTTCAATTAATAATCTGAAATAGTCTAATTCCTTGGCTGTGAAGATCTTTTGGGATTCAGATATTGAATCCCAAGCATGGGTTAAGAATATAACTACTTCTTCATTTGTACTTTCATTGTATGTTACTTTGATTGACTGCTGATATGGTCTGATAACATCATTAATTTCTTGAATGCAGTTCTTTAACAAGATCGGCTCACCTAAAATATATTTTTTATTAGCTTTAGTGGCATACTACATATTGTAAATATAATCATTATTATGCCTTGAAGTGGGTGGAAATGTACTTGTTAAAAAGAAGTTTGAGAGCTTTTAAAAATAAATTTTAAAGTATTTAAAACAAAACTTCTAAAAATTGGCAATGTTTTGTTTTCAAAAATCCTAATCTGTTATGTATTTGTAATTCAAATGCAAATTTCTTTATAAAATATAACATTTTTTTTATCGGCTTACAAAAATATATGCGTATGGTCGATCTTAATTAAAAGTAAATTATTTAATTCTTTCTTTGCTACACCACAACTACTTATCAATATCAACATTACCGATTGTGATGAGTTTTGTTTTTCACACAGAAAATGTAAATTTACTGCACAGATGATTCCCGTGAAACCTAACAAATTATTGCAATTTTATTTTCTTTAGTTTTAACATACCTGTAAATTTAGTCAGGACTCGATGAGCTTCATCAACACTCATAACACCGCTACTGGCTATAGTTCTTAAAAAATATCTGTGAACTTTACTGTAAGACATGGCTGGTTCAAAAATTTTTAGTTTGTGTTTATTTATAAAGTTTCGAAGCGGTTTAAATTTTGAACGTCATAATAGTGGTCATAAATAATATTTTGTTTGACACTATGATTTTAACGTTGTCTCTGTCAGTGTCGCTTTTTTCTACCTGTCAATGGTCACTGGGTTTATGATCTTAAAGCCCACCATTGTTCTAACTATTCTCGTAAAATGGTGGAAATTCACAGATTTATCCTATTCATTCGTTTTTTTTAGATAGCTTTAAAAGTTTTTTTAGGTAGCATTTTTTTAAGGTAGTTTGTCTTAATTCCTTTTATGAAGGAACCGAATGTTCTATGTTGAATAAAAATGGTCTTTTTAAAATTTCACTTTGTTGCATTATTTTAACAAAGCGTGTTTATGTTATTATTATGCTATGACTTACATACATTTTTATTTAACTAGTGAACCTGTAAACCTTATAAACTTTGGAAACACAGATAGCATTTTCAATCCAACAGTTACCATAGTCAAAATACCCGATAACCGTACTCGTCGAACTCGACAAAGAGGTCGACATGCAACCTAACCCATGCATCAGCCCGCTGAGTTTCTCGCCGGGTCTTCTCAGCGGGTCGCGATTCCGATCCGGTAGTAGATTCATTCGCTAAGCAGCTGCTCTTGAGTTGTTAGGTCTCCTTCGGAGGCACTCGGGCAGCTGTTAGCAAATCCCACCCCTTCTGGCTGAGCCTTTGCTCGCCCACCTGTCCTGGTGAAACTGGAAAGGCCTCCGGGCCACTCATATTATTCAATCATAAAAAAAGTCAAAATTTACTTTTAACATAATTTAAATGTTTCTTATCCTATTGTTTAAATGCATGAATTAATTATACCTAAGCTTAGAACAAACATACTACTGCGAACAGTGTACTCCTATTAAATTTGTAATTGCTTTTCCGCTCCCTAATTACTGCGTCCTGTCTCCATGCTCTCTTATCAATTATAGGAAGCCAAAGTCCTATTTACGAAGGCGAAATTTATGTATAAAATAAGATTGAATTAACAACTGTATTGCACTGCTGTATGTCAGTAACTATGACTTACTATGTATATTTCAGTTTTAGGTATTGTACAGAACTTATTTTGGGAAATTTAAGAGAGTGTTAGATATTTTATCCTAAACCAAAAAAATTTACGGAATAATATAAAATAGGACTAGGTATGTGTCTTGTAATAATTTATTTCTCAATAAAGTTTAAAGAGGCACCGATATTCATCATTTTGTAAAAAAAACTTAATTCTGTTGTTACTATATAAAAATAATTTCATTACCACCTATATTAATTGGGTTTTTTGTAATTTTTTATAAATGCTTTCTAGCTGAGGCCTTGGATACTTGTAACAATCTAGATCCGTTTTTCTATGTTATTTTTGTATTTTACTGATTAATTATTAGGTTTATGTAGGTGAAATAAAAGGTTAGAGAATCCTTCACTGATGCCATACACTATGTAGGCCGATTCATCAAGGCTTACGGCTACGAGACTTCGGTTACCTCTAACTGCAGCTACTGGTACCCTAGATATGTATCAATAAATCTGAGACTTCTTCCAAATGTATCAATCAAGAGCCAGCGGTGGCAATCATTTTCAGATGGCTTTAGGCTCTAATACTCAAACACTTAGCAATAAGTATAATAAATCGTGAGTTCCTCTGATAATCTGGTAACGCCAACGAATTTATTTACAACATTTAAAAAACGAATATTTGAGAACACTGCTTAATATTATATAATCTGTGATAATATAAAAATTACCGCTAAAAGGAGACGATATAAAAAACAAACGGCAAAAAGAAGAAAATAAAAATTATAACCGCTTGAAATCGCTGTAAAAATAAATTAATTTACATATAAGTTTTTCGTACTGTGATTCTATTCGCGATCACTTCTATTTCCAAGAAGTGTCGAGTGGTGGAGAAGGGGCCAGGAGCCTGCAGAAACAGAAGTCGACGTCTACGAAGGGAAACATTATAAAAAAAAAACTTGAAAATATTATATTTTTTATGTCATTAACGCGACAAAAAGAAAATATAATATTGAAATGAATCCAAATCTCGAGGTGTCATAAACAAGGTCGGATTTCGATCATTGGGTGAACACTAGTAAAACTAAAAATTCTAATCTATTTTACTAATGACTACGAGTAATTTCGATTTTTTTTATTTATTAAAAGCTTTACTATTTCATTTTAATAACTTAATATTTACTACGAAATAGTGAATTCGTATGCCTTTTTAAGTATAAAGGTGAATTACTGAAGGCATCGGCGAACCGATGCTTAATCCCAAAAGATAAACACATAAATTCATTAGTTTTCAAAACCTACCTTTCGCCTTCATAGACGGCATAACTCTCCCAGTAAATTATTTGAGCTACGAGCGCTTTCAAAACTTTTAATGGAGTCAATTTGGTTCGCATTCAAAACACCAAACACCACGTATACGTACGCACGGCTGATTCGGTAAGTACGATTCATACAAACATTAATGCCCGGTATTCGTGCGAGAACAAAATTTTCTTACAAATATTTACTTACTGCTGTTTAAATAGATTCCGATGACATTGAAATGAAAGCAGTTGACTTCTGAACGGTAGGTACTAACAAGAGATTTTTTATTTTATTTTTTTATTTTTTATTGCCTTTGTAGGCAGACGGGCATACGGCCCACCTGATGGTGAGTGGTTACCGTCGCCCATGGACTTCAGCAATGCCAGGGGCAGAGCCAAGCCGCTGCCTACCGCTTAATACTCTCCCTCGTTTGAAGAAGGACATGTAGCGCTCGGGAAACACCGTGGAGGGGAGCTCATTCCATAGCCGGATGGTACGTGGCAAAAAAGATCTCTGGAAACGCACTGTGGATGACCGCAGTGGCTCCAGGTAGTATGGATGAACTCTACTCCGGTGGCGGGCGGTGCGATGGTAAAAACGAGATGCCGGTATCATCTCGAACAATTCCTCAGAGCACTCCCCATGGAACATACGGTACAAAATACAGAGGGAACCGTAGTCCCTCCGCAACGAAGGGTGAACGTGCAAAAAAAATTATCTTGATACTTTCGTTATTTCTTGATTCCTGTGTCATTTTATCTTTTATTTTAGCAAACTCAATCTAGGTAGGTATATGATATTTCTCAGTAAGATTTACGGTAGGTACTTTTCTTTCATTTTATTGCGACAAAATTCGAACACGCTATAGTTTTCCACACACCGCTCTGTAAAATTCATTCAAGTGCAGAGCATACACGAATAGAATGGGAAATGCGACTAAATATCTTAATCGAACTCCAAAAAAAGATAATAATACCAATACAAGACCCGTGGCAGACACGGTTGAAGTTTGAAAGTGTGCCAAATAGTAGTTAAAGTTTGCCGCCTCCGGTCGGTGGGCACGGATGATTACACTGCTTTAAAAACTTTGCTCGAAACATAAAGACAGCACGAGCCATGCAACTTATAAGTTTGTGGATAAATACGAGTCCACTGGTTTTAAACGAAATAATACAACAAAATACACTCAATACTAATAAAATAATGCTAATAATACAGCTATGAAAACCAATGTCTCCATCCTCGAAGAGCTGAAGGTCACCAAGCGCCTGCTGACTACGTGCCAGGAAAAGATCTGGAGTTTCTTTGGGCACATAATGCGATCCCCATTGCACAGCCTGGAGAAACTCATCATTCTCGGACAAATGAAGGAGAAGCGCGCTAGAGGAAAAGCGCCAGCTAGATGGGTGGACCTACTCAAGGAGGTGACTGGAGGCCAGATACGGGCAGCGATACATATGGCGCAGTACCGGACCGAGTGGAGAAGATTGACATACAGTCACGATCCTCAGCATTGAGGGAACGACCAGAAGAAGAAGACAACACACATATAGGAACGCAAAAAGATATAGCCAAGCACGTCATATAGCTTACATGTTTTACCTGCAGTTTACGTTACACTCTTGATCTTTTCGAGGTCATCACTTTATGAGTCTATTTGCGGAATAAAAGTTCCTCCAAATATTTATAATTGCTGACCGCAAAACTGAGTAGTTACAGCACTGCGTCGTGGGTTCAATTCCCACATCGGGCAATCATTCGTGTGATGAACAGGTTTGTTTGCTCTTTGTCTGCGCGTTTACTGTCTATAAATTTATTTACTAAAAATAAGTGTATTTCAATCTTTGGTACCCATAAGTTAATTCTAAATTTGGCCTGGGTGATTTTAATTAACAGTTATTTAAATGCACGTAGCTATGCCTATCTGAGAATACCCCCCTACGTCAATGTATACTATGTAGGTTTAAAATACAAACGAAAACTTTCGTTACCTATTTAAAAAATTACACGTTAATTTAATTATTGTATTCGATGGTCGATTTTTTTTATTTTAAACTAGCTGACACGACAGACTTCGTAGTACCTCAATCGACAAATAAAATACCTAAACTTTTGTATAAAATAAACTTAAAACAAACAAAAGGAATCCGTTAGACGCGGGACACATCAAAGGAAAACAAAATATATATTTTTATTTAATTCTGAGCATTTTCATATTTATCTACCTTTTAAGCCTTTTCTGGACTTCCACAAATAATTCAAGACCAAAATTAGCCAAATCGGTCCAGCCGTTCTCGAGTTTTAGCGAGACTAACGAACAGCAATTCATTTTTATATATATATAGATAGATAATAATATAGATTGTAGTTTTCGTTTTAATGGTCCTTGTACTTTTTCATTTATTTAAAACCAGATTACTTGAATCGGAGTTTAACTTCTTTTTAAACATAAATAATAATTTTACAGGCATATAAATATTTTCAGTTTGCTTTTTTTTTCGTCAATACAAAGTAATGTTCTGCGATTATTTTGCCATTGTCCGACATTTAGTACGTCGCAGAGCGTTAACAATTCGGTTTGAAGGCAGTTAGGGAAGTTTTAATGGAGCAATTTGGAGGTGTATTGAAAACAGCCGCCTCTCGGAAGCGACAGATTTGGAAGTTGCTGCTGTCGGCTTTCACCTCAACCTATTAAGAATACCACTTGTTATTTC